AGTCAGCCTGGGCATGGGTCTGGCAAAGGGTGAGACTTTGGACCAAACAGGCATCCACCCGCAGGGCAAGGCCTTTAGAAAGCGCCAGAGGAATCTTTTTCTCTTTGGCCACCCACATCCTTCTGGCCTCATCTAGAAATCCTGCTGACTTGCCCAACAGCTGGCCCTTGGATGGCAGGGTGCCTCATCCCAGGTGCCATCCTCCCAAACCTTCTGCCCTCCCATGGTGGGTGCGAGTGAGAGGCCTCTTTCCCCTGAGTCCTGGTTGTGGAGGGGACACATCATCCAGAGCTGGAGAGATTTACCAGAGTAACTGATCCTCTATGTAATTCCTCTGCTGATTCAGCTCTACTCTCTGGCTTCACTCTTCCCGACGTGTGTGATACATCTCCAAGAGTTGCAGGGTGTGTTTTGTTCACATGGAAAGCTGGCTGCAGCACCATGTTTTGCCCTTGGCCTCAACCTCCTACTGCTGAGGGCTAAAGGAACACCCACACACAAGCACCCGTGCCCACGCCCACACCCTGCTCTCTCACAAGTCAGATGTGACATCACCATCAGTCTCAATTTGCTTATCCTCCTCTTCCTCCTCCTCCTCCTTCTCTTTCTTCTCCTTCTCCTGGTCTGCTGTGGCTTTCAGAGGTCCTACAGAGGGACATTCCACCACTTGTTTCTCAGGGAGAAGCGTAAAATCAAACATGGAAATGAGAAGACACCAGATTGAAGACAGAGCACCACATTCCCATTGCATCTTCCGAGGCACTGGCACAGGTTGCCCGGAGAAGTTGTGGCTGCCCCATCCCTGGAAGTGTTCAAGGCCAGGTTGGATGAGGCTTTGAGCAACGTGGTGTAGTGGAAGGTGTCCCTGCCCATGGCAGGGGGGTTGGAACTGGATGGTCTTCGAGGTCCCTTCCAACCCAAACCATTCTGTGTTTCTATGATTAACAATGCAGTCACGGAGAGACTTGAGAAGGTCTCTCAAGGCTGCTCCTTTCCAAAGCAGAATATGCAAAGTCCTCGAGAGCTCTGTCAGGAGATGGAGTGCTGTAGACCATGACTGCCTCAGTGGCCGTGGGGGTCCTGACAGGCCACCAGAAACCAGTTCAATTGTCCTTTGACAGGTGTCCAAAAAGACAAGGTGTAGCACAGGGAAGGGATCAACTTACACTGAGAAGGGCTTCCAGCAGCTTTCCGGTGCCATCCACAGCGAGGAGAAAGTCCTAAAAAAATCTCACATTGACTTCCCTGTTTCATGTGGAAAGAATGCTGATGGCCTTGAAGACCAAGTGTGTGTCCTGTCTTTTAGAGGTGGCCTGAAAGAGTGATGTCATAGTCTCATATACACAACATTGCACATGGAGAGCTCCTCACACCTCAGAGGGGCAACTATTACATCAGAAAGAGAAAGAAAAAGAGGAACAAAGTCAGCTCTACAACAGGACAGCATAGGCTCCAAGGAGGTGTCAGCAACTTCAGGCAGGACGTAGTCTGTTGAATCCCATGCTAACAGCTCCTAAGAGTGCCGGGGGGATGAGCACTGTGTGGGAGGGCAGCAAAGACGGGTGAAGATCCCATGACCAAGTCCATGGCACTCGGCCGCAAGCGTGCCCACACCGGTGCGCTCCAGCTAAGTCTCTGCCAGACCCACGGAGGAGTGACGGAGGAGCAAGACGCAAGGACTGCACAGCTGCATGCTCTGACCCCCTGCCCCTTGTACCCATTCACGTGCCTGATGTTTCAATCCCATGGAAGATGGGGTCATGTGAAAGAGAAGAACATCTCCAAATATAGACTCAATCTCTTCCTGCCCCACAGCATCATTCATATCGCGCTGCAGCTGCACTGGCCACAAATCATGGCAAACTTGGCCATCCACGAGTCCTTCCGTAAACTCTTATTCCCATATTTGGTTCTGGTGTCTCTACAAGTGACTTGTACACACTT